TTTTGGATTGTTCAAGGACTTATTTGTTCAAAAAATTGTCCAATGAGTTATTTAACATTTTTTGGAATTTCCAAGGACTTATTTATTCCAAAAATTGTCCAAGGACTTATTTAACATATTTTGGAATGTCCAAGGACTTATTTGTTCCAAAGAATTGTCCAATGACTTATTTAACATATTTTGGAATGTCCAAGGACTNGACTTATTTAACATATTTTGGAATGTCCAAGGACTTATTTGTTCCAAAAAATTGTCTAAGGACTTATTTAACATGTTTTGGAATGTCCAAGGACTTATTTGTTCCAAAAAAAGTCTAATGACTTAATCATTCCAAACAAGAAAGTTCATTGGTTTTTATTGTACTTTTCCTTTATTTTAATGTCTTCTTTATTTTAAAGGTTATAATTTTAATTATAATATTAAATATTTTTATAAGGTATTACTTATTTCTTTTGTACATGTGATTTTAGGGAATAATGAAAAATAATAATTTATCTTTCATAGATAATCGTTTTGAAGTGTTTTTCAAATTTGGAGATTTGCGTTGTCTCGCTCATACTTTCTTCAGTTTGGATAAAATTTTGAGGAATCTGTTGAAGTAAAAATCTTCAAATTTTCATTTTGGATAATATGTTGGAATTATTCTAATTAAACATATTTCAGAAAACTTGAAATATTACTCCCTCCGTCCAAAAGTAGATGCCCACAACAAAAAATACATATAATTTTACTAGTTTGTAATTGTTACATTTTTTTAATTAACCTGGATATCCAACCTGCTATGCGAGCTAACTAATCCCAGGACGATCATCTGCTTTACAGATAGTCCGGAGTCACCGTATTTAATGATAGAATAAAAAAATGACATTTATTTTAAGAATAGACATTTATTTTGGAAAAACTAAAATAGTAATATAGACATTTAGAAAGAATAATAGTTATTAAAATTTGATGATTTTAATTTTTAAAATTTTCTTTTTATGTCGGTAAAATTAAAAGATAAGAAAATTCTTTTTACAATGGTATGTATTGTAACTTTTAACTGTTATTTTTGAATGAAATATACTGATTTTTTAGTCTTATTTGATCTGTTTATAAAAAAGAAACATTATAACAATAATAATTTCTATAAATGTTAAAGTAAATTCCAATGATTATAAATGATAATTCTTCTATAAAATTAGTTGGATTTTTTAAATATTACTAAATATATCATTTACTACTAAAATATATTTTAAATATTACTAAATATATTTATATCTATTATTTTCTTTATTAAAACTTTATTTTCTACATATTTAATTTAATTTTAATGGATGTTATATCAACCACTTTCTAATATAAAATTACCCATTTGTCCTTTTTTGTGAAATTAAGACGCGCTAAATCGAAGTTTTGATTATTTATAAACGTGTGCTTATTGGTCCAATATTTTGAATCCAATTCTCATTGCTTTGCTTCTGGAAATTCCACAAGTTCGTAAATAATATAAAATCTTAAATATGCAAAAAAGTATTTTTCGTCGGCCGCCGGAGTCAGTGCCACGCGCTTCAATTATTCGTTTGCTCCCACCACCATATTACAAACAAAAAAATTAATTACATGTCCATATCTTCGGATGAAAACCGGGTGGTTGCTGGATTTTCTGTATCCGATCTCGACCCCTATTTAAGCCCGCTCTCTGACCCTGTCTTGACTAATCATAGGCGGGTACGGATTCGAGGGTAAGAAATCTTTGGAGAACCGGGTGGTTGATGGATTTCCCGTATTCGATCTCGGCCCCTGTTTAAGCCCGCTCTCTGACCCTGTATTGACTAATCATAGATGGGTTCGGATTTGAGGGTAAGAAATCTTTGGAGGGTTTAAAGAACTGATGGGTACAGGTTTAGTAAAAAACAACAAAAACTTACTCGGTGCTTGTCCTTTAACCTCGTTTTAGTTTTCATTTTTCAATTGACAGCATTATCTAAATTGACAAAATCCCAAAAATTCCAAATTATCCTTCGACTTACTCAAATGTTTGTCCTTTAACTAATGTTGGTGGGCTTGCTTAACTTTTTACCAATTTGCTCAATGTTTTTTAATTTTAGATATAGACGTTTCTTTTGTAATTACGTGTACTATTTTATTAATAATAATGCTATATTGGTAGAAATTTCATTTTGGATATAGATTTATATTTTTTTAGTTTAAAGCCCATAAAAAGACCTAAACTGTCTAAGGGGCGGTTTGGTTGTGGCTTATTGGGCTATATAGCCCATATAGCTTATTCGCTCAGCCATAAATGACTGTTCAGTTATGGCTTAATTTGGAAATCAAGAGCTTATTTGGACAGCTTGAGAAGAGCACTTGTCTACATTCAGCCAATTTTTTTACGTAAATACCTTTCTTTTAACAAACAATCTCATCCTCAATAACATTTAAAATCCCACCAACAATTAAAAATTTGATACCTGACTTTAATTTAAAGATTTTAGATTTGAAAAAAATATTAGGGCTTGATATTTTTGAGAATGGAATTGTTCTAATTTGGGTTTGATAGGACTTGGTAAATTGTTTTTATTTAAAAAAAAACTTTGAATTGATATTTTTTAACCATTCAAAGTCAACTATTCAAATTTTTTATCAAACAAATGCTTTAATAGTGTTTAATATAGGTTGGGGTAAAATGGTCATTTATGACATTCAAACTGTTTATTCAGCACAACAACCGAATAACAACTTATCTATTAATACACAGACAACTATATCCATACAGGTTTTAACAGAAAATGAACCGAACAGCCCCTAAATCGGTCAGACTATATCTTTTTTTGTGTTCCAATTCAACCGTCTTGGTAAATTGTGGTCAAAACGTTCGATTTGGAAGAAAAAAAGTAAACTTTCGTCGTAATTTAGTTTATGGTTTGGAAGATTAATTCATTCACACCGGACGCGAACACCCCAACCATCTTGTTACTTTAATTTAAGTAAACATTTTGATCAGTTGCAGAAATTCAAAGATATCAACTTTTAGAAACTTTATTATGTCTCAAACAAAGTTTTTGTTACAAAAAGTAAGTTCCCACTTTATGTAAAAACAAATATATCTTTTAATTATTGTGACATTAGTTTAAACTCAATAAAAAACAAGTACAATGAGTTAAAAACAAATCAAAAAATAAAATCAGACTTCAGACTTTAACAGTTTTAAAAAAATAAACATCACCTAAAAAAATTATTAAGTTATTGTTTACTTTTTTAAGTAATAGCCAATATTGAAATCTTATGGATAAGAGATGAGATTAAGGTTTGAAAACAAAATCAATAAAACTAATTATATTTTTATAAATTAATAAATATCTGAATATATATATTTATTATTTTTATTTTTTTCAAAATAATTGTAATATTGTTGAATTTATATAAAACTAACAACTTATTTTAACCATAGTTTATGATCGTTAATTTAATAAATACAAATCATATATTATAAACCAAACCATTTATATTCAACTTTAGAGCTTCTAGACATGTACTCTATGAATTAAAAAACATGAACTAATGAGACTTGTACTATATGAAATGTGTATTGTACATTTTTTTTTATAAATATCCAGTGAAGTGATGGCAAATGTTAACCTAATTTTAGATCACCATCAAATTATGATAAGACAGGAGAAGTGGTAATTTTTGCTCTTAACAGATAAGAGGACGGTAAGAGTTTTGACGCTCTTATCACCGACAAAAACAGATGTTCTTGTTGGGTCAACCTTTTAACTTTTAAGAGTTAAGAGGCTCATAAGAGGGAAAATGTTAAAAATAATCAAAGTCTAAGTGAAAATACAAAATCCGAATGGTTCGAAATCCGAGTCTGAACTCGAACAAAAAATAAGATGTTTATGGAAAACATAAATGTTCCAAAATATGAAAATCCGAAGCTCGACTTTTGAAAGATATTTGGGTTCAGGTTGGATTTGATTTTTGGCCATCTGATTTGTCTGAAAACCCAAAATACATATAGATATATATTTTAAATATTATGTAAATATATTTATTTATGTAATTATATTTAAAAAAACTAAATTTTAATCGATCAAACTTTTTTTCAATTTATAAACCCACTATTAATTTTATCAATGTTTTCAATCGATTGAATTTATTCTCAAAACTGATTATATATATATATACTTAATTATTATATTTATAAAATATTATATTATTAAACCAAAAATAAATTATTTTGTTATTAAACTTAAATTAAATTATAATAAAAAAATTACATAAAAAATGAGAACTTTTATATAGTTGATTTGATAGTAATATTGATATTTTTTTTTTAAATTTTTATGATATCTTCAAATTTATATTTTATTCAAAAATAAAATCATTTTTATTTTTTTAACAACACATAAAATCGTATTATAACATCAACAGAGACAAATAATAAAATAGAACATTAAAATCGAGATATGTCTCGTTGCATTGTACGAGTACTTTTCTAGTAACATTATAACTATACCAAACCTAAGAAACAACCCGGATCAATCCGAAATAACCAAAAAATTAGGGGATGAGTTTGGACATCGAAAACCCGATCTGATTTTTAGTTTGGGCGTCTGAATCGGTGAAAAGTGTAGCATGCACACCCCTAGTTGAGTAATAGGATGATTAAAGGTGATTTACACGAGCCTGAAGGCGAGAGTGGGAGTTGGAATAAGTTGATAGCCTTTCTGATCGTTCCTTTTTAGCGGGTAAAAGAAAGGAAAGAGTCATTTTAGGGAATAATTTCCACTTTACACGTTTTCTCTAACACACACTTGACGGTGTTTCTGTGTGTGTTTTTGTTTTTATTTAATTTTTATTGGTATGTCTCCCACGACTTCAAGGCTTGAAGCCGGTGTTGGACTGTTGTTATCACCGCTCGTTCTCCCCCACCACTTCTTCCCCATTTCATCCTTCCTTCTCCAATTCTATTCTTCTGCTCTCTTCATCTTCATCTTCATATTCAAATTCCTGCCTCAGATTTTCATCCCTAATTTCAGTTTTTCTGAATCCTCCAAGGTTTGGTGGAAATTGGATGAATTCTCCGTACTCCGATTTAGTTTACTTGATAAACACAGTTAACTGATCCATCGGTTTTTATGTTTTCAATGCAGATCAATTGGAGGATTTGGATGGATTAGATTCTTTTGGGTTTTTTTAATTTAATTTTTTGAGGGCCAAACTCAATCATACTGGGGAATGTTCTTTCCTTAATCTTCTATCCACTTCTCATAATCGGCCCACATCCACACACACAAGGTTTTGTTTAATTTAATTCATTTATTTGTTATATACGAAAGTGATTGTCTCTGGGCGTGATTCAGTTTTCGATCTTTTTTGGTGGGATTTTGGTATAATGGGTTGCGCTTCATCGAAACAACGACCGCTATGCCGGAACTGCCGAGGACCATATGCTCCGATGAGTCGGAGCTATTCAATGCACGTCCACCACCCTCCACAGACGGACGGTGACAGCTATCACGTCGTTGCCCTTACATCCACTACCCTCGGATATCTTCAGCTCGATCCATCCAACTCCAATGAGGTTCGCAGTGTGAAAAATCCAGGTGTCGTTCAGATTCGCCCAGAACCTGTTCGACAAAATGAGTATGAGAAGGACAGTAAGGAATTTGCAGTTGGGGTGATTGACGCTAAGACCTGGTCCAAGATGATCGAGGAAAAGATCCCCAAATTCGTTCCGAGAACACCAATCAGAACACCTCCTGGTGAGCCGGAAACGATCAATGCTTGGGAATTGATGGAGGGTTTGGATGATACAAGCCCCCTCCGACCAAAATCCACCACCAATCACATCCGTAGCTTCTCATTTCATGTTAATCCCAATTCGTTCACATCTCCCCTCGATGAATCTGCAACAGAATCGCAAGGAAAAGATCCGCAAACTAAAATATCCGACAAACCATCATGTCTACAAACAACAGAGCACAACTCCGATTCAAATTCCATTTTCAATATAAACGATACATCAGTGGCATCGGATTTTGATACCGAGGTAATTACTGCATTCCGAAACTCATTAGAATTGCTACCGCCGGCGAACCCATTTCACCTAAAGCCATTAGTCAATGAGAAGGAGCCGTCCTCGGACGGCTATGGTGATGATCGATTGGAGATAACTAATACCAAGAAATCTTTACAAAATGGCTTCGCCAGTGATGGTAAAAACAACAGCCTTCCTCGTGTCAAAGAGAAATTGGTTTTGTACTTCACAAGCTTAAGGGGAGTAAGGAAAACGTACGAGGATTGCTGCCATGTCAGAAACATTCTGAAGGCCACCGGAGTTCGAATGGATGAGCGGGATGTATCGATGCATTCGGGTTTCAAGGAGGAATTGAAAGAGCTATTGGGTGGTTCTATTGGTGGTGGACTGCCCAAGGTATTTATTGGGAACGAATTCGTTGGTGGTGCTACGGAAATCCGGCGATTGCATGAAGATGGGCAGCTTGAGAAGGTGTTAGAAGGTTGTGAGACGATGGATGCTGGCGGTTTTGGTGGTTGTGGTGGTTGCGAGGCTTGTGGTGATATAAGATTCGTGCCGTGTGAGACTTGTTCGGGTAGTTGTAAAATTTACTACGAAGATGAGTCTGATGACGAAGAAAAAGAAGAGAGTGATTATGGGTTTCAAAGATGTCCCGATTGCAATGAAAATGGACTCATAAGGTGTCCAATTTGTTGTGATTAACTTTTTCGGTATCAATTTTTTTGGTTTCTTTGGATTGTATAGTGAACGGGTTTTTTTCTCTTTTCCTCAGAGAAAATTATCTTGATCAATAGATTTATAATGAATACTTGGCATTGAGCTTTTTTTTCTTGGTCGTCTTTCTAGTGTTCAGAATTACGGGTTTTTAGGGTTGTTTAATAGATGCTGAATGATAAAATAGTTAAAATGATTAAGAAACTTTAATTATTACAAATTCAAAATTGATTATTTCATAAACATTATGAATGAACGGTCTAAGTGACCGAAAATTACCATTTTAACCATCTATATAATTTAATATTAAATAAAATATGATTATTTGATAAATCTTATGTATTAATACATTACCTTAAAAACATAATATTTAAGTTACCCATACCCAAAAAAATTCGCTTTTTGAAAAATCATAATGTAAAATTCTGAAATCCCCAAATAGTTGAACCAAAGAAAATGAAATTTGACCTTGTATCACAACAATAGAAAAGATCCCACCCTCAACCTACACTTGCAGTGTTTTTCCATTTTTATACTTTGTTGAATTTTTTTCTTGTTATCAACACGTATCGATATAAATACTGAACCCAAAATAAAAATTACCGAGATAGGAATAAGACCATTATTTAATGTTTTGACACAAAAGTGTCATCTCCTACATCACTCTGAGAAAACATTTATACAATTGTGGTTGAGGAAAATAAATTTTTACTTACTTTACCTTAGTTTATTGCATTTACCTTTCATGATCATTGAATGATTAACTCTTTGTTTCAACTAAGCCATAAAGGGTCTAATTCAGCGTGATTAATGACCTATCGAGGTGGGACTTGACCGTTTTAAGGTGCATGACCATCCTATGCTATGGTAGCCTTCGTAGGTTGTTTTAGATCTTAAACTGTTGGAATTTATAACGTTAGAATATAAAAAATGCGTTCCAATTGAAACCTAATTCTTATTCGAGTTTATTAAAATTAAGAATTAAAAAAGAAATTGTAAATAAAAAGACATAAGTAGGTACCAACCCTAAAAAGAGAAGTTGGTGGTGGATACAAATACAAGTTAATTAATTATATGGAAATAAATAAAATAAAATTAAATGGGTAATAAGTAGAAATGCCGAAAACCATGAAAGCAGGTAAGGTGGAAATTTGTTAATTAAAAGAAAGGAAAAAGTAGTTTGAAAAAAGTTTCAGTTGTTATATTATATTATTTAATTCAAAATATAAATATTATAAATTGTTTAATTATTCTAATAATAGATTATTTAAATAAAATAAATATAAAACTAAAAAGGAGTGGTAGGCCTTAATGCTTGCGCCTAAAGACTAATGTCGTTTGACCAACAAAATTTCCATTTAAACCAATCCATGACGCTTTTTGTGTTCATTATTTACTTGTAAAATTAGAGAGTGTTTGGTTTAGTCGAAGAATAAAAATAAAAATGACAGAGAATGGATTTTTATTACTTTAATTTAATCTGGAATTAAATTTTAGGTTATTGGAAGAATAAGTTTATTATATTATATAAAACCAGATAATTTCTTTTATTTTCATTCTCATTGATTACTGTCTAATGCTTTTAACCAAATACCTGCTTATACATATTATTTTCTAGAGAAATTGCATAATTTTAAAATATTAAAAATTGATTAATTGACTCGTCTCAATGGTTTTCATCCCGTTTGTATAAAATACTATTAATATAAATTATATTTTATTGTTAAGATTAAATATATAAGATTAAAAGAAAAAACTTGTTACTAACTTAAATTTCATCAATAGCGTGTTTAAATGTTCTTTAAATCAATTCAGGACAATAATAGACTCAATTTTTATAGTACTTTCGAGAGTAAATTAGGGATTAATCCTTGTACTCTTAATTTTGTCTTGTATTTGTATCAAACATTATTTTATTTCAAAATAACCCTGAGTGTTTACATTTTCATAACATTTTGGTCCTTGCCACTAAGGCACTATCGGTTAATAGCAATCTTCGGTTGCCTACCTTCTTTGGCCTCCACTCCGATCTCTCTCGTCATTTTTTATTCTTCCCATCCATAGTACGTCCTCATGAGCGTCCCCTGCGCAAACTCTGATGACTAGTGACCCTTTAATGCCCCATTATTTCGTTGAAACTCATCGCTCTTCATCGGACCACCCACTATCATTGCACCTTCTCCTTCCCCTTTACCACACCAAGCAACAACACCAGGTCTCAACTCAAGGGTATCATCAAAAACACCAAGTCTCAATCCTTCTCTTTATTTGATTTTAAGATTTAAGTCAAGGTTTTGATTTAGGGTTTCTGTTGTATGTCTGGACCACCGGGTGGTTTGGTTTTTGATTTTGATTTTGTGGTTTGGAAATGGGTTTGATTTTTTTTCGATTTTGAGTTTTTTGTGTGTATTATGGTGTGTGGTGGTCAAAGAAGACGAGTAGCGAAAAGGTTTGGCTTGAAAGCGACATTGATCTTTTCGGAGAGAGAAAGATAGAGAGAGGGTGGAGAGGTAATATACATATATTTTTATTCTTTTGAATGAGAAGATAAGACAAAATGTGGCAAGGGACCAAATTGACCCTCACTTAATGGCTGTTTGTTAACAACTGCTTGTGATAGGACCAAAATGTTATGAAAATGCAAATTCTAGGGGCCATTTTGTAATAAAAATCCATTTTTGCTGCCTATAATTGTGATTCCACAAATGATGAAATGAATGTAAAACAAATAACGACAAATGATAAATTGAACTATTTAAAAATAATATTTTTGTTTTACTCATGCATATCACTTGATGTTACTTTATATTTAAAAAGTGTAAATTACGGATTTGATCTCTCTGGTTTACACTTTTTATATATTAGTGGTCTCAAAATCAAAATAAGTATAAGGATGGTACCCTTGGTATGCATTTTCGCACCTATTGAATCTCTCCCTATAACGAAATAAATAAAATTCCGTTAACCCAGTTAAATTCGAGGGTATTTTAGTCTTTTTACTTATTTTTTATTTTTTAATTAAAAAATAAAGAAAATCCTATACATCTACAAATTACAGGGAGACCAAAACTGTAACTATATATATATATATATATATATATATACATACATATATAGAGATCCATTCAAGGGAAAATTGATTATTTTGTAATAAATGTGAGATCCAATTTCAAATACAAATCAATGGATAAATTAAGAAACTATATTTTTGGTAATTTGACTTAAAATTATAATTGAAAGGCTTTTTAGGTATTTTAATTTTTTTATCTCTTATCTCTCTCTCTCTCTCTCTCTCTCTCTCTCTTCTACCTTCGGCCTCCAACGAGCACCATGTGACACCTAAAATACACAATGTGATACCCAAAACAAACTAAGTAAACTTTGAGACCACTATGATAGCAATTGTGGTACCACTGTGATACCAACTGTGGTACCAACTGTGGCGGGGATGGATGAAGGGAGATAAGTAGTGAAGGGGTCACATGGACAAAGATGGGGCTAGCTGTCGGGAATGCTTGCAGGTAGGTGTTCAGTGGTCGATCATCGGAGACGGTGTATTGGTCAGATAAGATGGCCGGAGGAGGTTACCGGAGTGGTGGTGGGTGTCGGAGAAAGCCACCGGATTTGGTCCCTATTTGTCCCTGTGTGTGTGTATATATACATATATTAAAATAATTAAACTAATTAAAGTAAATTGGAATATTGAACTAATTAAAAAAAATTGAATAATCAACATAATTTACTAATTTACCGGTGGTCGCCGGTTTGTTGGTTTTCTATATTGAAGACGATTAACAACAAAACTAGGGAAAGAGAACCATATACTCGATACTTTACGATTTTATATCTAAAAAAGGTGGTGTGGTGGGTCTCGTCCTTAGATGGATCTTGGATCTCGTTGAAGTAAGTCGCAGACTGGGATAGGGTGGCTGGAGGAAGCTGCAGGCAGGGCCGGCCCTAGCCATAGGCCCAGGGGGCGACGGCCCTGGACAACATGAAGACCAAGGGCATCAATTTCTAAAGCCCAATATATATATATATATATATACACATATATATATATATATATGTGTGTGTGTATATATATATATATGTGTGTGTGTGTATATATATATAGGTTCAGTTTTCATTTGGGCCTAACATTATGTTACCAGTCCACGTCCATCATCCTCCCTCTCGCCTCGTTATGTCGCTCACTCTTAATCGAAATCGAAATCGCAATCGGCTCTCGCTCTCTGCCTCCCTCGACTATCGACTACCGTCGAGCGTCGGTCTGCGGCTGCCGGCTGCCTCTCTCGTCGCTCTCGCTCGCCCGTCGGCCGTCAAGTTATTATGTGCTAGGAGTTTCCGGAAATTAACCTAGTTCATCAGGAGGCTTTAGAGGCAATCAAGTAGGTAAATGTTGAAATTTAGTGATTCAAGAGTATATTTTAATTCGTTTTTGAATTATATTAGTATATTTCAGCTTATGGATAGGGTTAACCTAGCTTTGTCTTTGTTTAAGAGTTAGAATGGTTGAGATGATTAAGCTTCTGTTTAATTACTTATTTGGTAATGTGTTGGTAAAATGACTAATGTGGTTGTGAAGATTCATAATTTCAATTCTGATGATCAAATTTTCCATCAGAACTTTTGATTTTTTGAGTAGATGGTACAGACTGGGGGAATTCAAAATTGGAGCTCCAAATGTGGGAATTTGGGCCTGACATTTGGTGCCCATACCTGCTGCCTGTTGAGGCCTTGAGTGGTGGCAGGCCCCTTAACTTCACCCTGAACAGAAGTTATGGTTGTTTGAAGTTGACGTGCTATCCTGCACACTCTCTTCATCACACTGTTCCATATACGAATGTGCCAATTGTGTTAGTTCATCACCGTATTTACATTGCGTCTAAAAGAATACTCTCCTCATGTGAGTGAAAGAGATACAACACTGATGTTCTGCTGCAACACATAACATCTGTGATCAATAACACCACAATTCGTGGTGAAATTGAGTACGTGGCATCGATTATTTATGTATGATCTCTTGTAGTGTTTCCTTATGGCTTAGATACATTGTGGTTGATTGTTGCTGGTAGTTGATACTGTTGAAAGTTTTGCAACATTCAAAATTGAGA